CTGATATGGTTGTGAGCGATAAATTGTACTCAGAACTCTACCGTCAAATAAATAATATTGTATCAATCTGTGCCTTATCAGTTAAATTACTCTGTTAAAGAATTGCCTTATAAAGTTCTATTACACCTTGTCTGTATGTCTTACAATTTTCTAAATGTTAGTACTGCACCATTTTTATTATTTGTTTGGTGTTGACTCTATGACTAACTTTCATTTATCTTCATCTGTCTTGTCTTTTTGTATTTTTTAATCCACTCCACCGGATTGCCTGGTTGTCTGCTTGTGGTTAGGTATCTTTTCGGATTGGACTTATTGGGGGGGGGGGATTATTATTCTACACCTAATTAAGTTCCTATATTCTATCAAATGAGCTAGGTCGACTGGTTTGGTCAATGTGTTTGACCTCACTGTTATTACACGGTACTTTGAATAAAGAATACGAAAGAGAATATTTTGACAGCGTTGAAATGAGAATTCCCGTCTCCATTACCACTAACAGGCTGAAGATTTAACTAATGAACGTTCAACTCTTGCTTTGAAATATTAGACTTCATCAAAGTTTGTTACCTAACAGAAATATTTTCATGGTGCAGAGTAAACGGGTTAAAATTTCGCCTAATAATACACTTATTCTCTTAAATGAATTCTCACTTTACATTAGAATGGCATAATTTTTGTTTTGTTGGAATACAGTTAATCATAACTGTAAAGAAACGTTTAGAGGTAACAAAGTAGGTGGAATGGGTTGATGATACCTTAACCAAGAAAAAAGAATCCTCTGTTCAGATGAACTTTTTACCGCTTATCTATGTTTCCATTGATTATGAAGTTGTTTTAAATGCTTACAGTCATATCCTTGATGTTTTATTCACACATTTATCACTGATTACATACATTTAGTCTATCTATAATCGATGCAATCTGTTTGGTTAAACAGGTAAAAGTAAAGACGTTTTCCTTTAAGGTAACCAGTACACTAAATTTCTTTTTCTCAAGAGAATGAAAATATCCCCTAGCAACAACATTCTACATCAAATAAGAAACAAAAATTGACCGTTGAAATCAAACAGGTTTAATTAGACATCCCATTTATTTTCCGTTATATGCTTGATTAAAATGTCTTAGTCATAATGTAGAAAGTTGATATGAATGAAATTTGAAAATGTGTGTTTATTACTGTTAATTTATTTTTAACTTGTTTTGCCTCTTTTTTGTTTTAACTGGTTTGAAGGAAGAAAACGTTAAAATGAATTTCTAGTCCATAGGATATTTTTGGAGATGCGTTTAGTTTAATAACATAGTGGCGTATGGTATTCTCATTTTCGTTTCTATTCAAAAATGAAAAAAAAGAAAACAGTATGTGCTAGTGGAGTATAATAAATACGATCATGTTGAAACGATTCACAATAAGATTGTCATTTTCTGTGAATCTCAAAGGGCCAAGTTAAACTTTAAGCACCACTGACTACCAATGGAGTGCGACCGCACCAATGACCTTGAAACGCCCACTGAGCAAGTTAGTGAAACCTGGCAGATAATTTTGTTATCAATAAGATATGCTCATCGAAGTGTTATGCTATTAGGTTTTGGAAAGATGGTTATGGTTTAAGCCAAGGACAAGTTGGGGTTAGGTTAACCTAATAAAGACGATATTATAGTTGCTGCGAATTAGATTACAGTTAGTTTAGGGATATTTTCACGTTAGGGTTGGGTTTAGGAAAGATACCAAAATAGATTTTACGCACAATGGAATCACACTCTGTTGATACTCCAACCTAAAACTGAGAGCTATTTTTTATCACAAATGAAAGGAATGTATCCCCTGTAACACTTTTACACAGTTTTTATGAGTTTTTTCCTTAAATTTATACATTCCATACACAAAAATGCCTCCTCCACGTGACTGGTGCGCTCGAGGTCATTCGCTGATTGGTAGTTGGTGGTGCTTAAAGTTTTACTTTGCCTCCTAAAGTACGCAAAAAGACACAAAGCGTTAAAAAATGTCAAAGCTGCCTTCTAACAGATACGGTTGAAGTAACTCTGAGTTTTGCTCAAAAATCCTGAATATGTACAGCATATCATTTATATCTACGAGAAATAAATTTAATACACTTCTCCGGAAATTAGTTCACTCCAAAAATGATCATTATCATGATGATGTGATACTTACTTTTAAGCGACTTTACACCAAGGTAAACTTAACAGCTAGTCTTTCTGTATTTCAGCCTCATTGGTATTGCATACTTCAAATAGGTAATAACTTAAAATGAAGGATATTCAAACTTTTACTCGTCATTTTAATGATAACATGATTTCTGCAAAACTCGCCGTCGTTGTAAAAGTTTACTATTGAGGGTTTTTATAGTAGCAGTGAGTTAGCATTCATAGCTTGTAAATGGCATAATTTTCACTGTGCAATAAATGCATAACAAAGTCATGTTACGGGGGAGGAAAAAGAAAATGTGAGGCGTTTTTTTAAATATTTTTATATTTATTCAAATACTTATCTGAATGTAAAGCGTTAAACTGAAGTGCTCATGCTCAGCCACTGTCTGCATGCCAGTTACTGTAAAAATCAATTATTTTACATAAGAAAGTTGTTTAATCAGTAAAAATAATACCTAAGTATTAGCAACGCTTAATTTTTTACAGGATTTCATCATGAGCTGACATCAGTTAGAGAACCATCGGAAAACCTGGGAGTACTGAACAGCTGTTTCGTCCTAGTTTGGGACTCTTCATCAGTACGCACCCACCGGGATTCTCTAACTGATGTCAGCTCATGATGAAATCCTGTAACCAATCAAATCCCTACAAACCAACACTTGAAAATCAATGAGATGCTCACTAGCGACTTGCGCTATTCAGGTGGGTAGTCACCTGGGGTTCTAGTGAGAAGTCATGACCAGTAGGGTGCAGCAGGTCGGGCGTGAGGACAAATACTCGCCGAAGATATTGGCTAGGGGTCGCGCTATGTCGTGAATTGGCAGAAGTTAGAATTCATGGACCATTGGATCGGGTCTCAGTGGCTTAATGGTATACGAGCTCGCCTTGTAACCAGAAGGTCCTGGGTTCGAATCCCGGTGGGTGCGTACTGATGAAGAGTCCCAAACTAGGATGAAACAGCTGTCCAGTACTCCCAGGTTTTCCAATGGTTCTCTAACTGATGTCAGCTCATGATGAAATCCTGTAACCAATCAAATTCCTACAAACCAACGCTTAATTTTTTCTTTGAGATTCCCATATTTAAGAGACATGGGATAAATGATCCTATTGTTAAGTATGTTTTTCGTCTATAAGATTACTTTGTGTACTTTGGATTAGATTTTTGAAAAATGCTGATGTAGTGAGATATATCATCACCTTCTTGTAACGATTATTTTTGTATGACTGACCACACAGTTGTCAGCAGTGTCTAGGACTTCCAACGGTAACAGTGTTAAACAGGTTTTCTAGTTTGCTGCGACAACTATTTGGTCGTTTGATTCCTATTCCCAAAATAACGTCACTTTTGTAGTACACTGAGTAGTAGCTTTTACGCTCATTATTTAAATCGCTTTGTCAGTGCGTATTGCATACTAGTGACAAAGAGTACATATATTTAAAGACCGTACATAAGATCTCTGATATGCTTATCATAAAGAGTAGAGGAATGCTGAGTAATATGTAATAAATATGAATACAGGTGCTATGTATTCTGAATTCACGAAATATGTGATTTTTAAGCATAAAAGAAATAAATCAAAGAGACTATTATTCTAGATGAACTCTGACACTAATTCAAAACTGTTATTAAGGTGGCAATTAGGCTAAAGTTCTTACATCTTAACTGCATCAGCGTCTTAAAATATGACTCCACATTTGAGTTGACTCAAAACACATCAGTCCTTCTTCTACGATTAAATGAAGAGTTGCACCTAAAGGCGAATAGGAGATTTTTCAGTGATTTGAAAGTTGATAAATGACCCAGATATTGTTCTAGATAATCTCTGAACGTCATCAGTAAACATTACTGTATTACACTGTGAGACTTTATCAAAAAAATTTTACCTATAATGGAATTACATTCTGATGGGAACTGTGCAAATACATTTAGAGTAGAGTTGGCGAATTTCCATGTGACAAATGTTGAAATGTATGAACAATATCAATGCGTCTGACAAGCAGACTATATGTTTAGACACAACTCTTCTCTATCTCACAGAGACTAATTTCGTGTGGCTTCGTTGGAAACAAAATCTTGCTCGTAATGTCCCAGATGCCACTCTGGAAGAAATAATGTTGAGATTCACTTTTAGCCGTCAGTTACAATTTAATAGGTATCTGTATAAGAAAAAGGATTTGTAGGTACTGGGATTGCTACTTGGTCAGCTGTTTATGGACTGCTTACGTCTGAGGAACTCAGTGTTACAAATGACACCAATTATTGTGTGTGCGGGAGAGAAATTCATGTTAAATTTCCTGTTTTATTGCTTTAAAAATAAATTGTTCTTTTTCGCAAAATATGAAAACCTACCTTAGCGCTTATCTTTCATTTGTTAATTATAAGTCAACTTAACATGGAAAAAATTCTTACTGCCATGCAGTACGACTCTAATAATGTATAATTTCCCTTAACAACCAGCAGTTAATCTTAAAGATGTTTTAAAACTAGCTATATAAAAGACATTAGGAATGCTAAGCTTCTCATGAATATTCTTTTAAACAATTCAAAGAAAATCTTTTGACACCCATGAGTTCATTGAAAACGTATGCGTGCAGTTTGAAAACACGGTTTTTAGATCCAACTATTTATTTTTATTAGGTCTTGATTATTTTTAAAGGGTTATGCCCATATCACACGTTTAGATAACATCAGTCGGAATAACTGTAATTATCCTCTTGTTTCTTTTCTGTTTTGGTAGTAATTCAAATTTCACAAGTGCCAAATGCTAATTCATTTATCATGTTTATTGAACATCTCCTTAATGATAATAGCATTAATTCCCAAATGTTTATGTTTAATGGGAAGTCCACCAAAAAATTTGCCTCCTTGTTTAAATTCTGGAACAAGCACCATAGTTAACGAAAGATACGGGTGAGTTATAAGATTTCTTATTCGATTTCATGTACATTTATTCACAGAATGAATCGTTTAAATTACATTACTGTATTATGATATATTAGTGTTTCCTTGGGTTCCAAGTGGAACGTAGGACTTCAACAACACATCTACACTTCCTTCTGTTTTCTGTTGTCCTTTTCAACTGGGTCCACGATTGACCATAATCTCTCATCTCCTCCTCATACAATCTCCTCCATGTCACTCTCGCACCAAAGATTCATTCGTCGTTCCTCATTCACATTCCACTTGGGCAATGGCCTGCATTGCACACGATGTCATTTGGCGGCCTTCTCAGTGTATGCCGGATCCATCTCCATTTTCTCCTACATATTTGTTGAGTGATCGGCTCTTGGTTGGTTTGTTCGCAGCCAGATTTTCTTGTTGCCGATTCTCTCTGGTTGACTGACTGGCTGGCTGGCTGGCCATTTGATCTTCAGTAAGGAACCAGCCAGCGTAATCGAACTGTCGGTCACCAATGAATATTTTTCTTTGAGGATCTATTATTCATCATTCGTATAACATTTTTTTACAACTGAAGGCATTCATAATTTTTTGCTTTACAACAAATTTCTTTTCACCTCATTCTTCTTGTTTGGCACTGTAATCTCAGATATGGTCGCTTTTGCCTCAACCTATCTGTTGTAAGAAAGATGAATGAGAATTCTTATAAAAAGCCTTTATGATAGTGAGGAGGTAGTTCCACAGAAACACTTACTAAGTGTTTCAAGACTCATTCATATGCATAAGTTTTGGTGTATATTACAAAATGCTTTGAAGACAGTTCCATATTTAAGGGAAAGAAACTTATGCATTTGAAGTCAGATGCGGAGTTTAATGCTCCCCATCGATTTTGATATAAAAATGGGTGTAACCTCAGTCATTTTAGTCTCGTTTGACGACATCTGAAAAATGTATTCAAACCTCAGTTGAATTAACTATCCACATCCTACATTAAATGTGGTTAATTAAAAACCATGCAGGTAAGATTGAATATGGGACCAGTTATTTTTTATTTTTTTAAATTTTATAATAACATGACTCCACACAGTATTTTTGGTACAAGTATGGAATTTTCAGCATGTGATATCGGTAGTCCATTGATACCACGTGTACCTCGGCTGGGAATCGAACCCTGGACCATGTACGTGGTCGGCGGGCGTCCTAACCAGTGTGCCACCATTGTGAATCTTAACCATTCTGTATAAGAATTTCATTTACAAATGCAACCAAAAATTGCTCCACATTAGTTTGTTTATTTGGTACAGAACACAGCGATGCGATATCACTAATTAAAAGGCGTTGTGAGCACAATTTATTTCTCATAATCATACCAAAGTGATCGCATAAAATTGATTTTGAAAGTTGTGTAATCGCTATGCAATGATCATGAGAAATGACTGGCGCAGTTGATCGGTGGAGGAGATTGTCGTCGATTCACGCATAATTAATTGGTCTCTAAATAGCATTTTTAGCTGACAGGAGTAGAAAATATTAGTTACTCTGGGTAAATTTTAAAGAATTCAGTGTATAATTTAATAATTCCCATTGTAACACTTGGAACACAATATCCAGTGAAGTGACTCTTTTTGACGAATTTATTATGAAGCTGTACAGTCGTATATATATATATATATATATGCATATACGATCCTTAAGAAACTTTATCCCCTGAGGAGCTTTAAACAAAAAATGTGAATACTTATAATAACAGCGTGAAATGCGATAAAGCGTTTATGATTATAATCATAGTTCAGTATCACGCGATAGAAAAAATAATGTCATATTTAAAATAATTCAGAGAATGGGTAAACCGTGGAAAGGGGAATTTGATAAGATAGATTTTAACACTGCAGGAAATATGTATTGATTTAAAATAATAATTTAGACAAGTGAAATAACCGTTCAAAATGGAAACAAGAGGATTAGTAATCATAATAGCAATATTAATAATAAGGGGAAAGTACATAAATGAACAAGTCGGAAAATAAATAGATGCTCATACCTACATTGCATTCGACGGTCAAGGTACTACTTTTGTGCATAATGATCCGCCTTGAATTCATAAATGTGTCAAGACTTTCTCTATCATCAGAAGTTTCCAAAGAAGAAAACTCAATAAGTTTGCATAAACTGAATAAATAATCTTAAAATCATAGTACGGGTTGGTGGAGTGACAGAAGTAGATCAAGTGTTCTAGAATAAAGATTCTCACATTTTTCCTTCTCCCTTGTTAAACTATACTGAAATAAGACATTTGTGACATTTAAATATATGACGTCATTTGTTCTATAGCATGATACTAAACTAGAATTACAATCACGAGCATTTTACTAGATTTCACATTGTTATTATAAGTGTTCACTTCTGTTCTTCAATTTTTTCTCACAGAATATAGTTTCTTAAAGGTCATATATATAATCTGCTGAAGAAGCTGTGGCTTACACAGCGAAACGTTCAGAAAAATCTTGTTTTGATTTTCTTAAACACGCTGGGATTAATATATATGTATTTGGCTGTTCAGCTTCATAATACATTCGTTTAAGTGTCTCTTCGCTGAATATTATGTCTTTAGTTATTCAGTATATGGCTCAGAGATCTCAGTCCTTATTCCTAATAAATTCACTTTCAAGAGCTGCTGAAGAGTGCTAAATAACAAGTAAACATGTTCCCAGTTTATAAGTGATTTCTCAGTTGATATGGATATATATTGAAAACTGCCTTATAGTATTTCCATTTTCTTCGAGCTTTCTGGCTGTAAAACATTATTTTTTTTACAGTAAATCATCTTTTCATTAATTTGGTTACCTCTAGTTATCTGTGAAAAAGGCTAACTGTAAGAACCTTATTAATGATTTTATTCCTTTACCTTCCCAGTGGCACACAGGGCTTCGGGCTGAAGGCCTGAAGTTTCGGTAGTCGTGGTGTTTATTCTCACAGGATGGGGTTGCTAGCCTCTAGCTCAACGTTCCCTCTTTATAAGTCTAATTAGTGGTTTAGTGAGGTAAGGGAGTGCGTTGGACGGGGATCGAACCCCGGACCACATGCATGGTTGGCGAGCATTCTACCGCTGTGCCACCAACGCAACTGTAAAAACGTGGTTGGCTATAAATTGAAAAAGGCTTATTGTAATGCTGTGCATTTAGAAAACAAAAGCATTGTTACTACGTTCATTGATTATCATTAGCAGGTGACGCGTTAGTACCTGATCAATAAGTAAAACAGTTAGTGTGATATCTCATGAAAGTTTATTTTAGTAATACGATTCCATAGCCACTTTTAGGGTAATCACAGTTCACAACAACCACTTTATTGCCAGGGTTTCGAAATTCGGATCATTTTCTTAATACACATTTATATGTACACGTCATATTATTCTTTCAGACATAAATAATAACTATATTATACAGTTTCAAATTTCATCACTGATATGCCATTTAAAATCTTGAACAGTAGTGTTTTGAAATGGATAGCACGACGAATTAGCAAACGCGTAAAATTAAGGCATTGTAGTAGAATTTAATACTATTATTATTACTGAAGTGATTACAAACAATAAATTGCGTTTGAAATGTCCGGCTTTTAACTCTGTTAAATCAAATAAACTTATGAGGGATAGTACAATATTGAAACATAGGAATCTGGCTGATTGCAGAATGACTGACCTCATAAAGATGAATAATTTCGAGAAAAATTCAATAATCGCGATGGATGTATTAAAGCAAAATTACACAATAGAGTGCAAAAGAGGTACTATTCTGAAAAGTAACTTAGTTAGATGGAGACAGAGGATACTTACTGAATCTTTGTCTTCCGTTGAATCTGCACCTAACACGTGCATTGGAGTTACTCAGTACCAGAACAGATATATGTAAAATATTACTACCAATCAAATCAAAGAATAAGAAATAATGGAGTTATACAAACATAGTTTGGAAGTTATGAACAATAAATTGTGCTGGAAACGTCATCACTAAATAATACTTCCTAATTGTGATTTTGTCAAATAAATCTATTATATGGTCGTAAAATAGGACTTTGAAATCACAACAGTTAATTTGAGGAAATCTAAAAAAATCGACAGGAAAAGGGGGTGAATATTCTCAGTAATTTATAACAGTTAATTTTGATTGTATAATTCATGAATCCATAAAATGTATTTCCAAATAAACGAGCACCTCTGTTTCATTTTCATTGCAAAAGACAGCTCACTTTTCAGATTTCACCGATCATTTTGCGTTCTCTTTGATTGAAATAAGATATATTTGGGTTAACTTTATTCAGTAATGCATTAAAGTTGTGTACTTTTGATATGATATATGTTACTTAAAGACAACTTCATCAGGTATCACTCCATCACTGATATTCTAACAATGGATACTACTTTGGGCCTTCGACAGCGTCGATCGAGAGGTGATTTGGCAACTACTTCGCTACTACGGGGTGCCACCGACAATAATACATCTCATCCAACAGTTGTATGACAACGCTGCATGCCAAGTAATCCACAACGGGAAGCTCACGGAATCCTTCGAAGTGAAGACAGGAGTAAGACAGGGTTGCCTACTATCGCCAATGATTTTCCTGATTGCGGTAGATTGGATAATGCGACAAACAGCGGGCAATGAGGAAACAGGCATAAAATGGACTCACACAAAGAACTTGGAGGATCTGGACTTCGCCGATGATATATGCCTGATTTCCCACAAACTGGAAGATATGCAAGTGAAAAGTAACAAGTTGGCAGAAGAAGCATCAAAGATAGGACTTCAGGTGAACATAGAGAAGACAGAGGTGATGAAGATTCCTGGGCAACAGCAACAACAACAGACAGCAATCAGCATAAATGGAAAAAACCTGAAAGAAACTACCTCCTTTACCTACTTGGGAAGCATTGTTTCAACTACAGGCGGAACTGACGAGGATATCATAGCAAGGATCGGGAAAGCAAGGCAAGCTTTCATTACTCTCAAGTCTGTGTGGAGATCAACATCATTCAGCGTCAAAAATAAAATCGGGATTTTCAACTCCAATGTGAAGTCAGTACTACTATACGGATCAGAGACTTGGCGTGTCACAAAGAGCACCTCAAACAAGCTACAGACCTTCATTAACAGATGTCTTCACTCAATACTCAAGATCAGATGGCCGGAAAGGATCAGCAACAAAGATCTCTGGGAGCGAACCAACCAGGAACCGATTGTGAAACAAATAGGCAGGAAGAAATGGAGATGGATTGGCCACACTCTGAGGAAACCAGCAAGTGACATCACTAGACAAGCCCTCGAATGGAACCTGAAAGGGAAGCGACGAGTTGGTCGTCCAAGGGTGACCTGGAGGAGATCATGTGAAGAGGAGATGAAAGCATGTGGGCAGACCTGGAGCCAGGTGAAAACTCTAGCAGAGAACCGAACGCAATGGAGACGCATGGCTGAAGCCCTATGTTCCTCTAGGAACTAAAGGAAATAATAATAATAATAATTGGGCAATTGCGATTATTTGTAAGTAACAAAAGTATTTTAAATGAGAGAAGGAGACTGATTGTTCAGCTTTCCATGATAAACTGTATACTTTTCTTGACACCAGCTTATCACTACTCAAATACTTTAATATTCTAGAGGTTTACACACACGGATTCGTAATGAATGTGATTTAGTATGTTGAAATCCAGCAAGCATTATGGCATTGTGGAGGCTTTCTAAGTGTCGAAGGCGTACTGTACTGATTTACATGCTAGTGTTTATCATTCACGTCCACATTCAGTGAGAACTTTACACCCACGATGTCTGAAGCTGAACTAAACGTTAGGTTGGTCAAACACTTCATAAACTGAAAACAACACTTGAACAATCATATCACTTTGTTTGAGCTGTTAGCTTTAAGTAGCGAAACATTAAACAAAACAATATCGTTTCGAAGTGGCAGTGTGTAGGCAATTGATTGTTTTCATGTTTGATTACGGATTGATATCAGTTAGAGAACCACTGAGAATAAGGGAGTGCTGGACAGCTGTATTGTCCTAGCCTGGGACTATTCAGCCATACGGACTCATGACCCCATTAGGATTTGAATCCAGGACCTTCAGGTTACAAGGAGAGCTAATTGAGACCGTTCAGACGTTTAAACAGAATCCAATGGCCCATGAATTCTAACTTCTATCAGTCCGCAGTTTTTAGTGCGATCGTCAGCCAATATCATCGGCAAGTATTTGTCTTCACATTCGACCTGGTAGACCTCAGTGTCCATGAATTCCCACTAGAACTCCAGAAAACTTCATTCTGTATTCAGCCACTAGTGAGCATGATTGGGATATCTATAAAGTTTTATATTAGTCACCGTTTGACTTCATAAGAACTTTAAGACCACTTTTTGTGAACTTCACTTTAGTTTGTTTTGGATAAGAAAAGTTTTCTACCTGAAACGTCTGGTAGCTACGTGACCATCATTGTTATAGACCTGTCGTCACTCTAATTATTCAACAGACTTGTTAACCAATTCATTTTTTCCGTGTACGTCACATGTGTTGAAGCAATATCCTTTTTTGAATGGTAGTTATTTTGAATTGATTTATCACAATGTTTGTGAATGTCCATTTTCGGTAAGTGAGATGCATCTGCTGTGATAATTAAAATTAGATCCATGCATTTAAAATGGCTTGATATGTTAAAAGACAAACATTTTTTCTATTGGCGATGGAATAATTTCTTAAAGTCTTAACGGAAAAATGAGATAACGAATTACCGTGTGCAACATTACATGGGAGTGTTGTATCGCCTAGTCTGGTCTGCACACATGACCGATTTATTCCGATAAACAGTCATAACTAGGCAGCCATATTATTAATCATCTAGTGGTTGATTCGTACGTATAATCGAAACATGTTCTGAGGCAGTGTCATTTGCATAATAACGGAATCCTCAAAAAACATGCAATCTTGATCTGGAGGTTCTTACCACCTAACTACTGGTGTGTAGTTATATGTCTCATCATCGCGTCACTGAGTTTATTATCCCTTTTGTGAATATGATATTAAGTTTTGCAGCATTTTATGAGGTTTGACAGTATTTTTTTCAACATTCGCTGGCCATTTTTTAAATATGCATTTATATTCAAGTAAAATGTAAGAATATCAGGCCATTTAAATACTCAGGTCTTTTTATTTTTAAATTATTTCTGGGTGACAAGTTCTAACGCCATCGGGACAATGTATATTTTCAGAAAATGATCTTTAGAGTTTTTGAAACACTTGTTTCTCTTAAATACCTTCTGATGTATTAAAGGACAATTATTCTCAAGTGTTTTCACTTGAATATTTTTTCTACATTTAACACAGCTTTGGTTCTGAAGATTTTTCCGATGATTTTCTTATCTCAGGTTTCCTTATACTTTTTTAAAATCTGAATATTATTGTTCCCTTGGGTTCCAAGTGGAACAAAGGGCTTCAACAACACATCTACACTTCCTTCTGTTTTCTGCTGTCCTCTTCAGCTGGATCCATGATTGATCATAATCTCTTATCTCCTCCTCACACAATCTCCTCCATGTCACCAAAGATCCACTCGTCGTTTCTCATTCAGATTCTACTCGGACATTAGCTTGCATTGCATACGACGTCATTTGGCGGCCTCCTCAACGTATACCTGATCCATCTCCATTTTCCTCCACATATTTGTTGAGTGATCGGCTCTTGGTTGGTTTGTTCCACTGCAGAGTTTCTTGTTGCCAATTCTTTCTTTCTGACTGACTGGCTGGTCATTTGATGTTCACTGTGGAGCCAACCAGCGAAGGTGGCACCTGTTGATAAAAGTCTGCAGTGGCCTGTTGGAAATCCTTTTCATGACACACTGACCAAGTTGGTGACCAGTATAGGAGAGATGGCTGACTTCACTGACATTTGTGTTGAAAATGTGAATCTTGTTGTTTATGCTGGCTGAATGGAGCAGAATATTTCCAAACTGGTTTCAGGTTGATGAAGGTGTATCTTGTCTTTCCGATTCTAGCTGACTAGCTGGCTTTGACATTTTCATCCGTGCTGTGTGGCTGTTGTTGAAATGACGTTTCCTGGATAAGTGAAGACAAGAACTGAACTCTGTCAAATCCCTCCCGTTGATTGTGATTGGTTTTGGTTGTTGCTGTTGCTGTCTGTGGTAGTTGGTAATCTTCGTCACCTCAGTCTTCTCTATGTTCACCTGTAGTATTGTCTTCGCTGCCAGCCAGCCTCTTCAGCCAGTTTGTTGGTTTTCGCCTGCAAGTATTTGAGTTTGTGTGACACTGAACATATATCATCCACACGCGAAATCCAGATCTTCTAAAGTCTTATTATCGGTAGTCCAACGTATTCCTGTCTTTTCACTCCCAACGCAAAGTCTTTCGCATAATCCAGTCCACCACAATTAGGAATATCATCATCGGTGATAATAGGCAGGCAACCTTGTCTTATTCCTGTATTCACTGCGAACGTTTCGCTGAGTTTTCCATTGTGAATTACCTGACACGTGCTTTTCCATATGGCCAGCTGTTGAATGAGGTCGATAAAGACTTTAACACTGCACGCCTCAGTGTTGAAGCAGTTTCCAAATTACTTCACGGTCAACGCTGTCCATCGAAGGCCTTTTCAAAGTCAACGAAGGAATTTGAGGTAGAGATCGGTTTGATTGCCATTCTATGCTTTGTTCTGTCATGATGATGGTAAGAGCTGCAATTCGATCAGCCTATGATTCGCCTTTCCTGAGACTAGCTTGTTCTGGGCGGCGGGTGGAGTTTTGCATTCAGTTCATCTGTTACTCTCTCCAGGATGATGCGACTTAGTATTTGACTTGGTGTGGACAGGAACATTACTCCATGACACTTCTTGCAAAGGCCTAACTTAGTCGCCCTTCTCTGTTAACTTGACAATATAGCAATCCTTTATTCCAATACGTAGGTACCTTTCCCTCTTTCCATAGCTTTTGTAATAATGTCGTGAACATAATTGCCGCAGTCTACGGGTCAGTTTTCAGGGCACAAATGTAACTACCGTAATAAATATTTTGTTGTAGGGACTGCATTACTTATTTTTGATTTGATAATTCATAGCAGTAGAAGTTGAGATGTACAGTCTGCATGGAAATAACTGTAACTGATGCAGCGTGAAGTTTTCAAATTGTAGTTTAAAGGGTAAACCTAGTTAAACTATCCATTGCATTTTCTTAACCTCCAAAATGGAATTTACTTGATTCATTTTTGGCATGTCACTAAGTATTTAAACTTGGTAGCCTTCCTTTACACTTTCATCCTATACATGTTAACCCATCAGTTTTTTTGGTCAAGAAGTGTATGCCTACAGTCTGTTTTCCAGATGTTGGTTACTATCTCTCTGTTTGAAATTCATCATTAAATTGGTTTGATGCTTAACGAAAAAGTCCCTTGAAGTGAAGCCGGTTTCTATTAAATTAGTTAGACCACAGCTTTTAGACAGAAGTATTAAGAAAACCATCTTATGAAGTACTCTAAAACAGTGTAACAGTTAAAACACGGAGAATAAACTACTTGAAAGTAGAGCAGAATGGCCATTGCCCTATTTATAGATTCTGGTCAATACAATTAAGTCATTAGAACAAGAAGTAATTTTGGGGTTTACAAGTTTTATTTTCGTTTTCTGTATTTTTTTTTTCAGTTGTTCATGCCCAGATTCATATATGGATAGACAGTGCAAGCTTCCCTCCGTTAATGTTGCCAATACTCCCATAGAAATTCCTTTTTCTACTTTTTACATTAATACAACTCATCAACGAACAATACACATAGGCTTTCAGTTTATCACTTCTGATAACAGCGGGAATGGAACTTTATTTATACTCAGAAATATGGTAAGTTTGTCTGTTCGTTTACAAGTCAGAATGCTTTGCGTGCATTCTTTTGTCTTTTTGTCGAATGATCGAAAATCCCATGCAGATCAATTGCTACCGGAAGCTGTGGTATTTTAAAGCACTGAGTAAAAGGTAGTTCTTAGGTTGATGGAAATTCAATTGATTTCATGGTGGATTTTGTCATGTCACCCACGAATGCAGCAAGGATATGTGAAATCCGAAAGCTAGGAGTCAGTAGTGTATAAAATTTCTCCACATCTTCGGCATGGACTACTGAAATAAAACAAATCTATTATAAGTGCACTTCTAGTTACGAAGGCACATGGGTTTGAATAAAATTTCATACTAACTTGATACTGGAATAAGTGTTTGCCCTGGTTTTAAAAGAAAAAGGATAGAAAGGTATTAGTTAATACAGTACACTGGGAAACGGTGTTTGTTTCAGCTTCTGAGGTCAGTAGTTGATTCCACCATACATCTGCAATTGAGACATCTATTAGTGGTTAGAAAATCCTTGAAATGAAGAATTACAGTACTAATTTATGAAGTTCTTTTAAAATTACATTCTCAACTTATCTTTACTTATAACTTAAATGCGACTATATGATGTGCTGAAGGGATTTTATTCATCTCCTTTGGTAGGAAGTAGATTGTTAAGAAGCGAATTATTCTAGGAGCTTAAACATAGTGAGTTTAGCCACATGGAACCATTGAAATATAATTATACCTTATTTGATCTATTCCATAATGCTCAAACTTTTTAGTGACATTAATTAAAGTATCATTACTTGACATTTGGTGAATAGGTTAGTTGAAATGCAGCTAATTTTCAGATAACCTGTGAGCAGAACAGAAACTTGCCTGAATACATACCTTTTCTTGAATAATTACATAGTGATGCACTGTGGATTATTTACATATCGAATTTCATATACTGTTTATACATAATTTTTCATGGCAATTTGTTTTTACCATTGTTGTTTCAATATGAATCAAGACTTGCAGTTTAAAAACACTGTGTCTAACCCACCCGGTGTAATATGAGCTAAATTTCAGCAGTTCTGTAAATTCAATTAGTCATTTGTCCAAATCTTCTGGTCACTAAAACCGAAGATTTGAATAACTAAAAGTGCGCGTACCTTTCACATGATTTCAGCCTATGAATTAGTTAACTCGTTTTCGACGCCAAAACTTATGACGATGTACAATGTAAGCATTTTTTTATTGCTTCACGTTCCAATGGAGCATAGGGCTTCAAGCTAGAGACTTAAAGTTCCGGTAGCAGTGGTGTTTACTTTTACGGGGTGGGGTTGCCAGCCTCATGCCCAAACTTCCCTCCTTACCAGTCTTACTATTGGCTTAACGAGGTAAAGGAGTAAATCAGCCAAGGATCAAACCCCGGACCACATGCATCGTTGGCTAGCATTCTACCGCTGTGCTACTAACGCACAGCAACTAAAATGTCGTTATTCTCAGTTGAAATGGGAAAAAAATTCTATAATTTAAGCTGCACATTTGTTCGATTCCTCTAGAGTAAATTGCGTCTCTATCTATCAAACTGTTGAGAACAAGTATAATTGACATAAAGTTACATTACCCCCCCCCCCCAAGCCAAGTTCTCAAAGTTTCTGAATTCTTCAGTTGTTTAATCAACTCATGTTTATGCTACAGAGTTTTCCACTGCTCTGTGCATATCTTTTTGTCTGCAATAGAGAATTTCATAACGAACAAAAAGCGCTATGCGTAAAGCATATAGATGTGTGGAGATCTTTGCAGTCTTTGCTTTACATATTATCAGTTCATTTTCAATAATTAGTAAATAGCCCACTGAATAGGTAACAGTTTAACTTTATCTGTTACAATGTTTATATTTAATCTAGTGTGTTACAAATAAGACAAATAGTTTTATTATCATTACGTTATTACTTATTTGTTGGATCATTAAACAGATAACATTCATCTCATTGTTAGATTCGTCAAAAATAAGGAACAACTATGATTTATACACTTCCTCACTGACTTTGTGACATATGTCAGAAATGTTAAAAGTTATTATAAATACTTACCAATGTGTTTATATAATAAGCATGCGTAGTTAAGACCGAATGTAAACAAATTCCTCAAGAATATTCTAGCAGCAAATAAAAAAAACAAGGCTCTTTCTATAGCTATCTAAAAGTAATTTTAGTCGTTTTGTGTTTTTGTACTGACGCTTGTGAGATATTTATATTATTCAAGTATTAAAGTGACATCGACCAGAAAACGGAGGTAGATTTGAAGCTGTTTAGTTTACATTTATTTATCTGAGTAGCTTCAAACTTGGAATTTGCAAGCTGTTGTATGACGTTAAGTTGATGTACCGTATTTACGCATTTCGCAGTCATGATAGATATTTTATGAATGAATGTTTATGAATGCAAATGATGGAATTGGTAGTATTCTACTAGAAGCGTTTTACTGTCAACCAAATGGTCAGAGATAGCGTAAACGATTCAAAATGATTTGATAGATAAATGCATTATTATTACAAACTGTTATTTGTAAACACTGATTAAATAAATGCATGATCAACATGCAACTTTGTATGAATGCACACTATTTAAAATGGTTGTAGGACTTAGAAGAAGACCACAAAAGAATTAAAACGAGGTGTAATGACACTACAGTGAACAAAGGTGTGTGAGACAAAGCATAACAAAGCAGCTGATGATTTTTAGGATTTTCATAATAAGGGTCTCCAGTCATGGAATCAGAAACATTCTGACGCTGTCAACTAGTCAGCTTACACCTACAAATACAGCTCACACCAACAGCCAGAGGTCATTTTGATGTCTCGCTCTTACAACTTCTAACTCTTTTCTAGGCTAGTCCTGTTTGGAGTTGTGGAAGTGCTTAACTATGGTTCAGCATACTTTAGACATTTATCCACCTACACTGAAGAAGTTATCAAGCTTCTTGAGAAGTTTATTAGGTTTTGTTAACATAGGACCGAGGATTATTTGTTTTCTTTGCCTCTTTTCCTGCAGAAGATTTGAAGTGTTGTCAGGTTTCTTCAGGAAGAGTATTTATTTTCCCGTTTCGATGAAGTTTAAATGAATTATCTGCTAAATATCAACCGTATGATTTTTTCAATCTGATAAATAATAGCTTTTTACTAGTCTATTTCCTGCAAGAGTTTAGTTGAAAATACAAATGCACAAACTGCCTTGTGATTATAGTCCTTCCTAGTAGGTAGTGCAGTAGTAGCGTCCATACTTTACCGGTTCACTGCTTTCATGATTTATTTGGAAGTGAACCTTCTTGGTTCATTGCAAGCTTGATTTTGGCACTGAGAAAGGGATATAAAAGACAATCACTGTTGTCAATTTGTCCACGATGGACTCCGTTGAAACATGAAATCAGAATGCATAAGTAAAAGTATTTAAAGATCATTAAAGGGATTAAGCTTGTTCGATGGTTATCTCCTGCTGCAAAATACATCTTTTAATTATATTTCATTGAATGGCTCCTTCAACATTGGATATCTATGATTTTTCAATTGAGTTCATTATCATTCTAACGCACAAATTAAATAAAGTTGAAATAAAAAAGTTTCCGGGATGCGCATAAACAACTGTTGCCACGTGTGAGAGAAACGATTTAAATTATAATATATATAATTTGTGAAGAAAATATTGCTGTTCTATGTAAACAGTAAAAATATGTTAGACACATTTTACTCCGTCAGCTTGAATTAAATTTTACAATTAATAAAACGAAACCCTTTACATTTGGCGGTTTCCATTTCCAAGCTTTCAGTTAAAGTAGTCAGTGGGGAAAACGTAGAGTTTTTAGGTCTGAGCATGAACTCTAATGGGTATTTCTATACACTTACATTATTAAATTTATTAAATTTAGGCCTCTTATAAAATTCCCAGTTTATTCATTGTATGATGCAGAGAACTAATAGTACTTATTATTAATACAATACTTTTATTTTCAGAATTCTACTTACTTTTTAAGTGGCCAACTTATTCATCTCAGGGTATTTCTTGAATTCGGCAGACTCGGTGTTAATTTTGTACATTTGTCCAATTCAAAAACGCTTCGTTCACCCTCAGGTGCTGTGGCATTAAATGACAATGCTTGGCATTATGTGGATGTATTTTTAGATACTCAGGTAATTATTATATTTGGATGGTTGTAGTGAAATTCTTCTTTTAAATTTTGCCTCTGATAATACATTTTATTCAATCACAGTTATATATGCCAGCAATCAGTGATCATGATTAGATATTTTCATGTTTGAAACATTTCATTTATTTAGTTAATTTTAATGGGTTATTAGGTTAATGAATACTCTTGTCAACTGGGATCAGTCATTGTACCAGAATATTGTATTCATCTAAGGAGGCAGAATACTAAATTATTGTTTAAGTTAATTTGCATTACCTGTTGATTGATTATGCTAGACCATAGTTCTTTGTCTCTGTTGACCTGTCAACGACTCATAGTACGGACGCTTCAACGACGTCTGGAGGTTACACATGATATTATTTCGGTTGATGGTGACTAGCAGTGGAATCCAAGATTTACATCAATTTATGACCATTTGGCATTTGAATTTCAGTGGGAACGCCATCATATGAGATACAGGTACATCTGCCCGATCACATAAATGGTAATCAAAAAAGGAAGCACAATTGCATAAAACTATCTACTTACTACTGATTGGCTGAGAGGGGTATTTGTATACCGCATAAATCAGCCAGTAGTGCTTGGTAGCCAGATCTAAATGATCTAAATGCCAGACTCCTTTTGGCTGCTTTTGGGCTCAAACTGTATAGACTGCAAATTAATTTGAAAATTGAGATTCACAGTTTACCCAAGTGGCTAGCCACAAATTGGTTGCTTTGAACTGGTTCGGCTCTCTTAGTTTACTCAAAGTGAGCACTTCGCTGATGAGCCTGGCTGCAAACGAACGGAACTGACGTCCAGCATTTAGATCATTGCTATCTGGCAAGGAAGCACTACTGGTTGATGTAAGTCGCATAGAAATACTCATCTCAGTCGGTCAGGAGTATATAGTTCTATGTCACTGGAGTGATTTCAAGTAATTATGCGTTTCCGCCACATACAGACTCTAAACACAGATTCTATATGTCATGTGTATCTTGGACAGACAAACTATACTTCTATGCTTGGTTTAGACAGACGGCCACTAATTCCGTGATTTAATATCAGTTTGCGGTCTGAAGACTCTTTGTTTGCTTGAAGTCCTGACGTCCACACTATGACTTTGGATTACGGGGTGGGTGAGACTGCACAAAACAAACCACAGCCAGCGCAGACCATGAAGGATTATAAGTTTGTCAACCAATCTCTTTGCCAAATTATTTTATGAGAACAATGTGCAGTACTATAAACAATGTATAAATTCAAATTCATAAAAGGGAATGAGCGTAAAAATATGTAGCAGGATAAGCCTTAGGAACCTAAAGGATGGAATTTTTACACTAATGGGGGATGAAGTAATTTACAGAAGTTTGAAGCTGTAGGAAATAGATTATGCACATTGAAAATAAGTAATCTAAACTATATTACTCATTAGCAACATAAGTAGCATAAAGTATAAAACACAAAGTGTTTGAAAGCAGGAGATAAGCAGCCCCAAAATAAAAAGCAAATAAGGTGTGTATTGTGAGTATGAAAATGATACTGGCGAAAAATGAACGCAGGTGCTTCATCACATCTTTAAGATTATAGCCATCTACAGGTGGTTGGACGCTTTGCTTTCGCAGTGACATCAACCACTCGACTTGTTGACACGTCCTCAATTTAGTACTTTTATACTATAAATCATGGACATTTATTTTTTTAAATTAGGTTAGCTGACTTAAAGTTTTGCATTAAAAACAAACATTTGAAGTACACAGTCCGAACATAATCATTTCTCCAATTGGTTGATAAAAATTTATCTGATATGCTTGTCATTATGGCGTATGCCCTCCAGGTCCGGAGTTCAACAGAGGCGTAAAACTCAATACTACCGACTGATGGAGATGATTGGCTGAACACCACTCACACCAACCATTAGTGCTTGGTTACTATTTATGGTATCAAGTAGATCACAAATTGTAATCTGAATAATTTTGGTCTCCAAAGGAAAGTGTAGTGAAACTCCACCTCTTCGAGCTTAATTCTCTTGAAGAAAGCTTTAATCCCACTCCAAAAAATATGTTGGGGATATGTGGATGACACTTTCACATTGTCGAATACAGAACATATTTCTAGCTTCTTGACGCATGTGAACTCACTAGTGTAGGGAATAAAATTCGCATTTGAATCGCAAAATGAACAAGGAGAATCAGCTATTGTTAGATTGTAAAATTTCACCTCCTCGAGCTGTGCTAAGTGGAAATTGAGAGTCTGATCCCACTGACAAACATTACTTCAAATGTCAAACCTCGAGGACATTAGGGAACCTACCCCTGTATATATATAAACGTAGGAAGTGCTTGTTGTATGATGGGTGAGATTTTTCAGGGTCAGTTGAAATTCAGCGTTTCACTACTTATCTTAATTACTGATATCTTCATCCCTTAGACTCAAATTTAGCTATTCTGTTAACGTTCTCTTTTGTAGTAAATTAAATTCTGACTCGAGTTTTAATCTTTTCATGAAATAAACAAAGTTTGTTTTGGATTCACTGTCTGGCTTAGTTTTTCTCAGTTTTTACAATGATAAGTAGTAGGAAGGAAGATCACTAAATAAAATTTCACAATTATTTTCTGCAGGTTAACGGAGAATGGAGTTTGATAATGCTAATCGACCGATGTAAATATTCCGAATTGGGACCTTGTTCAGTGAATGATACACTTACTTTGCCAGTTAATTCCATAATGTTGGGAGGCTATGTCTTACTAGGTGATGAATCTGGTCCATCTACAGAACGATTTAGAGGATGCTTTGACAATGTTTTTATCAATAAAGAGGTATGTTTAGATTCATTTTTATCCAGCTAGTTGAAGTATGTTTGAAATTAATGGAGTTTTACTCCAATTTGTCAACTTTGCTTTGTTTTTCAAGTGTCTGATTGATGATATTTTGTTGAAGACATTTTTGCCTTTAAGGGGATTATATTCTTTTGACAACAACAAGCGTTTCTATTGACAATACTCAAAAGAAATGCAGCTGGCTTTAAAATCAAAACGATTTTTCTTGATGAATAATGTTATAAATATTCCTGTTTTAATTGTGCTTATATTTTTATTAATTTCAGCTGCCAGACAATAGTTCGCCTTGTCTGATGAATCACTTTATTTTACACTTACATGAAATGAGTTAGTATGTCTATAATTAAAGAAGGATTAGACGATAGATGGATACACAAACTGTTAAATTTTCAATACGACAATCTGATGATTGCTAGTGACTTGCTACAGGACGGAGTTTCCTGGAGTTTTAGTGAGAAGTCGGTGACCAGTGAGGTCCATCCAGTCAAGTGTGGGGATGGATGTCCCGCCGATGACATTAGTTGGTGGTCACTCTAAGTCACTAATTGGTAGAAGTTAGAATTCATGGGCCAACTGGATCGGGTCCCAGTAGCTGAATGGTATACGAGCTTGCCTTGTAGCTGGAAGGTCCTGGCTTTGAACCCCAGTGGATGCGTACTGCCAATGCGTCGGTGGCACAGATGTTAGGACTCTCGCCGACCATGCACATGGTCCGGGGTTCAATCCGCTGCCGACGCACACCGATATCAATCATGCTTGTACTGAAAATACGGTGTGGCATCAAGCTGTAAATCAAAAAAAATTAAAATTCCCAAAGTAGGATGAAACAGCTGTCCAGTACTCCAGCGCTGGTTTTCAGTGGTTCTCTAACTGATATCAATCCGTGTTCAAACTCGTAAAAAATGAATACCCAGTTAATTGTGAAATGATGTAGCACAAATACAAAAGCAGTCTCATAGCTTGGATTTTACCAGTGATTTACGAAGGCACATAATGCAGATTGTAAAGCTTAAATTTATTGTTTAAACTGGTTATGTATCAAACCAGATTCCGTTACAAACTAACGCTGATTGTGGGACTGTTGAAATCCGTAGCGTATGGTAGCTGTCTCTTCCCAGTTTCAGACTATTTAGCACCGATGACCACCCTACAAAATGAATATGGGATTATTATTTTACAAAATGAACAACATATTTGTCATAGGGTTAGTCAAAATTCGATGAAGTATGATTTAAAACTTCCATCGGTAATCACCTATGTCAAAAATTAGAAAAAGTTGGTAATATTTCTCAAATTTTCTGCTACTTTAATGACTTTACATAAAAAAGATTTTGTAATTTTAGATACTTAATTACTGTTCTACTTACCATCGAGTCAAATATAATAGTTGTGTAAAACATTCTCTCTTTTGGAAATAATGTTAACAGTATTATGAATAAAAGTTTGTTTCTGAATTATAAATCATAAATTCACCAAGTAAGTATTATTATTGATCTAAGCTATGTATTTCTTATCTTTCAGTTAGTTGATTTTTACCCTGTACTCTTATCACAAGTATCTCGGAGAGGTTGTCCAGAGTCACAGAAGGGTTGTTTACGAGGCAATGTAAAGTTATGTGGAACGTATGGAAAATGTCGAAATGCTATAAGTTCAACCGATATACTAACTTGTCAATGTGAAGTTGGATATAGGCCAAACATAACTGCAGCACTGAAACCTCATAGATGGCCATGCGAAACTGGTAAGTTATATTGTACGGAAGAGATCAGCATTTTTCAGTGCACAATAATAACTTAACCTTCATTTTTTTCGTAATGGCCTAATATTTGATAATTTAAATAATTGAATTTCTAGCCGAATCGATTGATTTATGCTATTAATATAACGAAAACATTCATTCAGACACAAAATAATTGAACAAAGAATATCCTTTTTGTTAATTTCCTCTTCTGGCTCTACAAATATATATACGTTTATATACATGGAATATTCTAGAATAGTAGTCAGTAACAATATTAGTGTTTTTTAAATAATATCGATTTGTAAAGTAAGATCAATGGAATTACAGTTCATTAGAGATGCTTAAATTATAATTATAATAAAAATATAATAGCAAATAGTGTAGTATAAGTTCAGAAATCTGACGAGAACATCACCCTGTATGGTTAAGTAAAGGACAAGCAAAATCTGTTCGTAGCGCTATTCTATCTCATCTTATGGATACAGAACACAAGATTGATGTTAACCAGGCTTCCAAAGTCATTCACTACATACCAACAAATCTTAACTTCGCCTTAAGAGTTCGTTTACTAAATACTGCTGAAACCGTTGGGATCCACATTAAGAAACTTAACAGATGTGTCCAAAAGAAGCTAGTTCAGGCATTATCCTTACCGTGGCCATCTAGGTTCGAATGATCTCCAATTTTTGTGGAAACTTCCCCAATTTTAGTTGATATCCTATTTGCTATTATATTTTTATTATTATTATAATTTAAGCATCTTTAATGAACTGTAATTCCATTGATCTTACTTTACACTTCGATATTATTTAAAAAACACTAATATTGTTATTGACTACTAATATAGAATATTCTATGTATATAAACATATATATATATGTATAATTGCAGAGTTAGAAGAGGAAATTATCGAAAAGGATATTCTTTGCTCAATTATTTTGTGTTTTATAAATATAATATTAAGTAGAAGAAAACTCTGGGGAAATAAAGTAAATGCCTATTCTACTACTTCATGACTTGGCACTTATTGCTGAATTTATGAGAGGGATTTCGAGAATCAGTAAGCCTCAGTAATCACGGGGATTAAATAAAAAAAACATATGAATTAATTGCAGATTAGCTTTAAATGACCACAGTGATTGCTAGGAATACTGTTGGCCAAAATGTTTATTACAAACATGAGCTTGATCAATTATTACTACCATTTCTAATTATGAAGTATCATGAACAAAACTCCTATCAGAAACTTAGGTGATTACCGACAAAAGTTAGGAAGAGAAATTTAAAGAAGTTAAGACAACTGATGTGTTACCAATTGTAAAAGTATTCTTGTTGATGACTTACAAAAGACGTAGTTCAGCGAGGAGTCTCCTTTCGGCGAATTCGCTTTCTTAGCTTACAGTCGCATATATATACATATATATAGGTAATTTTGTGTGTATGTGTACATTAATTTTTTCAAACCAAAATACAATTGGTTATGGTTAATTTAACTAAACGGTTGAGAGTTAGTAAGTTTTGGGTGGAGTTACGTAATACCAAAAATGTTTACGATTATGATGTTTCAAATAATCGGCTACAAAATCGGATAGTTTCGTTAGTGAGTAAAAGGGTGAATATTTTGTTACACTATGTTAAATGAGTTGCATTCAGTATTCTCGTAGCTCATTTTGCATGGAATTCATTGCAATAATCTTTGTGCTTTGCCAAATTGTGCGAGAGACTGTGGTATATTGACTTTCTGATGCTTAAGTAAATTGTTTATGAACTGGTTGCAACATTCACTCAAGTGGAATATTCCGAACTTGCAAGTACACACTAGTGATTGCATGATCATTTATATTATCAAGTGTATCTGAATAGTCTGTGTTTCCGGAGGAGATGGTGATGAAATCTTTTACATAATTATTTTGACTCGACAGTGTATATTTGTTTTACCATTAGTTGATGGTTTCGAACAATTCAGGTGACACACTTGCAGGAATGGTGAAAGTAGTGTTGTAGATAGTCTTTGAATTGGTTTCGGAAATCTTATCTGCATTATCTTCTTCCAATAGGGTATCCTCAATTGACGAAGTGTGCAAAAGTACAGTGATATTAACTGGATGACTTCTCTAGTGAGTCTTATCGCTCATAATCATATAAATGTAGTCAGACGATTCCACAGCCTACTTTATGTGGTTACAATATTTGTGTATACAAATTTACAAGTATGTGTGGGAGCAGTTACATTGGAAGAACAGAAAGAAGCGTATGCCTCCGATTTTCTGAACGTATAGAGAAAAGCCTGTGTGTAAAGGGAACAAATGCTTTCGACAGTGCCATCGCTAGGCATCTCCTTGACACGGGTCATGAGGTGGACATCACAAGATCGTTCAAAATTATCAATAGGTAAAAGAGTTCAGTTCTCCTTAAGTCTGCCGAAGCAATCTCCATCAAGCGACTGAAACTCGATTTATGTGTTCGGAAAGAAGTGGCTATCAGTGTTTGCTTGCCATGATAACTCGATGTTTTCACCCTCTCTTTCATTTGACTACGTAATCAAGAAAGGTTTAATTTTGCATGAAACCGTATTGGCTTTGGTAGGTTATTCTAGACTATGTAGATTACTTTTGAGGAAGGCTTCTTTTAGGTTGGAATGATCAGTACTAACCAGGTGTTCAGTTATCGCTGTCTTTATAGCACCACTACTGCCTTTTCGCAACCATGCTCGATATTGTTCTTGAATCCTCCTGGAGAGGATGCGCATCGAACTACCGATGTACCTGGCTCCACAGTAGCATGTGAACTGATTTACGCACGTACTACTGGTCAGATGCGGAACCTTGTACTAAGGCTTCTTCAAATCAGTGGGCGACTAAAGAACACTATTCTTAGCGTTGCTGCAAAGAGTTTTCTTCTCAGAGATGATGCAATCTTTAGCATGAGAGTATTGCTTCTTAAATTTCCTTTGAAATCCATGTTCATGTCGAGTTTCTTTTTCGACGCAAGTGAAGTTTCACTTCTTCAAATTCTTGGTTTGATATTTTTATCAAAGAAAACGAATTCGAATCATTCTGATAAGATCAACTAGTACTATTGAAGTATCATAGCATTCTTGGCGAAACAGAAACAGCAGAAAGTGGAGTGTAGTAACCAAGATTTTTGCGAGACTGGATCCTATTTCTTGATAAAATCGATCTGCAATATAATCTTTCGAATAGCAAAATTAATTTAAAATGGAATGTGTTGTAAATTTGTCATGAAGACAATAAGAAAATTTGTTATTAACATCACTATCAAACAAACATCATGTAGAATGATGATATTAACCTTTCATAGACTGAGCTGAACTAAATAAATGAAGAGAAGGCTACACAGTATCGTGTATTTATAGAAAAAATAATTACTATTTACCTCAGGGGTATAGTGGGCTTAATTTTCATCACATGTCAACCCTTTTTTTAATTGTTGGTTAGAAATATTTTATCATGTATTAGAAATTACCTTATTGGCTTAACTGGTTATTTCTATCAGTACACACTAGAAATAAGAAGACATAAGTCGAGAATATAGTTTCATAAGATGCTGTTTTAGTAGAAAAACCCTAGTTATAAGAAATCACACAGTGTATCTATGTATGCCATAAAAACACCTGATATGTTCATCAGTAAAAATACATGCTGCCATTTAGTGTTGACAGTAATTTTAGTAAATTGAATCGTTTTAACTGAATTGATGGTTAAAACTGACTGACTGACTGGTTTCAACATAGAACTTTGCACCCATGTGCAGCAGTTCGAGTCGCCACATTTCACTTAGCACACAAAGCAAGAGAAGAAAGCAAACAAAATGCAAAATAGAGACAGTAAGCAGAGATATGAAACAAAAAGAATAATAATATCGAAGAACCATGTAGTTTTATTGTGTATTAAAAGTCACAAGGAGTGGATGCATCTGCGCCGGCCATTGAGAACGATTTTGAGCCATATTACCAGTTGTCTCCAGCCATTGGTTTTTACTGTCCCGAGGACCTCAACCATGAAGTCTACACCTCCCTACGTGGCTAGCTTAAACTAACTTGTAGATTTCATTGACTAAAGAGGTCGTGTTTTCGTTTGACCGCCACTAGCTAACTCTTATCCAACCTGATCCTATGTCAGCTAATATTGGCCGTCGAGGAAGGTGATCGATAGCTAGGCATACGTAACACATGTCCTAAGCATCTCAGTCTATGCAACTTTGCAGCCTCGTCTATTGATATCCCCTCCTTACCTAACACTCGACCGATGCCTAACCTCAATGTTGCTTACCCTATTATAACGCTTCACACGGGAGATAGAACGCAGACACCTATGATCGAAGACATAGTCGGCCTCTTCATGTCTTCCAATTTCAATGACCAGGTCTCACTCACAGCCATAAAGGAGGACGGAGCGGACTCCTAAGCAGTACACACGGCCTTCGGTCGATAATTAGCCGGACGTCACGTCCACCTCAGAGATGACGTAAGTTGGCAGGCATATGTCAAACGAGCCTTCTGTATCCGTTCTGAGATTTCATCAGCGATCAACCCGTTGGCACTGGTTGATGCAACTTCCCGAATCAGTGAAGTGGTCAACGCGCTTTACCACTTCACCCCCCCCCCTATTTTTCAGCTTGGAGTAGTCGACATAGTCCAGTCCTGTAGCATCATGTTACATTTTCCGGGAGCGAATTGCATGCCAAACATTCAAAGATTGCTGCTCAAGGTGTCCAGAAGACTTTGCATTTTGTCAGCGTCTTCACTTTGACGAACTATATAATCTGCATATCCTAAGCCAATGAGATTATTATTCCCTGGTAACAGGTCCAGTACATTTATGATGAAATTAAACAGAAATTGGGATAGTGGGCATCCCTGTCGGACACCACTACCAATTCAGATGATAACTTGGCTGCATGATTTCGAGTCGAGTGCCTCAATCAGTGCAATGTATTTTCTCGGCATTCCGTTCACAGCCAAACAATGCCATTGTACC